CAAAGGCAAGCAAATCAGATTAAGCTTGGATTTCTTAACAGAAACCATGCAGGCAAGAAGGCAATGGGGAGACATATATAAAACCCTGAAAGAAAAAAAAAAACTGCCAACCAAGAATCCTCTACCCAGCAAAGCTGCCAATCAAATATGAAGTTGTAATCAAAACATTCCAGGATAAACAGAAGCTAAGGGTTTTTCCAAAGCCAACCCTGCTATGAAAAATACCCTAAAGGAAGTTCTGTGGACTGAGAACCAACAAGAACAGACAACAACTACAGAATGACACACATGGCAGCATCACCCTGAAATCAATTAATAAATGAAGAGTCAAGAACAGAATAAAATGATAAGAATAGAGAATCTGGGAGGTCAGTCTATGATCAAAACAATTAGAATGTGAAAAAAGGTTAACACAGAGGAACAGAGATCCAGGTGGTGAGAAGGTCAAGTAGATTACAGGATAAAATAGACTGTCTTAAATGGAGGGAAGAGTTAATGGAATGTAAGATAACCACAACAGTGGGGTTGGGGTGGTGGGTTTAGTTCGGGTGTTGGGGAGGGCAATACAAGAGGGGGGAAGAGGTGGAGGAACAGGATGGATGGGGAAACACTGGGACGGGTTTGCGTGGCCTGGGTGGGACGGAGGTGGATGGCGGTGCATGCTAGGCCTTGGAACCGCAGGGCTCTGTGTTGCAGGGATCTGGGCATAGTTTGAAGAGGGGAGTTGGTGCTGAGGTGCTTGGCTGTCTTGTGAATGTTGGTTTCCCTTTCCCACTGTTGTGGGGTGGACACTTCAGAAGGATAGAAGAGAATGCTGGGAAGCATGACTGCAGAAGGCTTGTGGGCCTGTCTTCAGCCTATGGCTGACTGGAATACCTAAAAGGGGTTCTAGAACTTGCCCAGTGAAACAGGCCTCTTGCAAAGCCTTTGCAGAGTCTAGGAGCTTGGATGGAATCCTGAGTCCTGTCCAGAACCTTCTGAGGTGGGACATTCCCACTAGAAAGGACAAGCAGACCATCCTGGAACAGCTAGAGTGACAGAAGATACATCTTCAAAGAAAGATCGTCAGGAAAAACTCAAAACAAAAATGTCAGCATGACTGGCTACTACAAGAATAAGCAAGCTGTTTACCAGGAAGCCATCAGAGCAGGCAATTGAGTTCCTTCAGAACGAACTCCCCTCTAAGATTGAAACTCAAAGGGAACACACGAACAGGCATGTGGGCTTGCTGGCAACCACGTTCGTCTACTGGTAGGTGGAAGAGGGGGAGGGGCAGCAATGAAGAAATAGGCTGAGTTCAACCACAGTCCAGTGACTCCCGTTGACCTGGAGATGAGAGAGAGAAGAGGAAGGGCTGGTTGCTCCAAAGTATGGTGAGACCTGGGGACACTTGAGCCCATGGATGAGGATGTGGCCATGGGGGGCTAGAGCTGTAAGTGAAGTGTCCAGCTGATGTGGGGAGATACATGGGAACACCCAAGCCTACAGACAGTGCTCATTTGACCTAGCCTCAATGGCTTTATAATCAGAACTCAACTAGAGGAAGATTACAAAAATATATATATATATATGTGTGTGTGTGTGTGTGTGTATTTTTTTTGGATAAAGGAAACAAGGGTAGATTGCTACAATTTAATGAACCTGACCTATAGTCATGGAAGTAGTAATTCTAAATACCAACAGAGAGGGAAGGAGTATCCCTATCAAGTACCAATGCTATCCTTTCTGTACACAGGGCAACTTAGATATTGGCTACCTAAAATGAGGGGGCAATAAAGGCACGAAGTGACTGGATTACAAGGTTTCAAGAGGGAGTTTAGTTTAAGAATATGCAGTGGGAAGAAAGAGTCCCCACTGAATCATTTTAATCTTGTCTCGATGGGTCTGGTGAAAAGAGATGGGGATAAGATTCGTATGATTCGATAGTGAATAATTGTTAGAAGTTTTGTAACAAAAACAGGGGAGTGGTTAATCTTACAGTCCAGAAACAGAGGACCCTAGGACCATCAAGGGAGAAGATCACAAGCAAAATGTGGGACCTTATCCAGAGTAACAGCGATGACAGAGATGGGGTCATGGAGAGGAGGAGCGGCTGAGGACTCTGCAGTGGGAAAAGAGGGACTAAGAGCTGGTGTCCAGGAGGCAGACTTGCAGAATGTGCCCTTTGGAGGTGCAAATTATCATATATGCCTGAGTGGTGTTTTTTTTTTTTTTTTTTTAAAAAAAGCTAAAGTGAATAGAGAGAAATACTGTTAACTGATGGTACATGGAGGGGATTATAGTCATCGTAATGAAAGAAGGTATATGATTTGTTGGATATAAAACTTACGCTCTGCCCTGTAAACTTTCACTCAATCCATAATGAAAACCTTAAAAAAAAAATTCCATGCAGAAGGAAACACTCTTAAAATGGTGTTCAAGGAATGTCTATTTGAGATGCATGATCAGAAGGGGGAAGTGTGAAAAAACACTCTAAAATTTAGAAGGCAGCATTCAATATAACTAGAATGGTTATCACAGATTTTAATCAGACTTGGTTTTATCCCAGGTCCCTGCTTCTGTTTTTCAGAATACATGACCTATGATTACACCTTCAGCTAAAATTACTTGTGCTACAACATTCTGAGGTGGCCCGTCCATATTATTGCCACAACCAATTTTAGAATGCAAGATATTGTGGCTAAGGTTGAGTACCTCAGTCAAAAGAAATTCTTCATAAATGGGTCTTACAGAGCATGTTGGATATCAACCAGTCAAATGTACACCCATGCTCTTTCCTCACCTGGTACAAAGTTCTGATAAAAGATGTGCACTTATGCTCTTTCTAAGAAATACCATTTTGGACTTTATTTTGGTGCTTCCCATTTTGTAAATCTTTGAATGTGAATAAAACACTTATTTTACAAAATAATAATAATAATAAAATACTATGGGAACTCAAAGGAGGGAGCCACTAACAGACAGCCTTCCTCATTTTACTCATAAGAAATTTCTTATTTGGATATACTTACTTCTTTCCTAAGGGAATGGTCTATACTTGTATTAATCTCTGGGGAAAACATTCCTTCTTGGTCCCAAATTCTTTATTTTCTGCTTAAATCACCTGTTTTTGTAATTATTTTGCATCTGCTTTTCCCTTTACAGATCTGAGCAAGGAGGGGGTACCTGATAGGTTTGCTCTGCAAATCTGACATGAGCAGATCCTTTCTGAGCATTCCTTTGAGCAAGCATGGAACAAGAGAATAGTTTTCCTGTTTTGTGCTACTACTTTAAAAGGATGGGCACCATAAAATAAAAAGTGATGGGCACCAGGCCCTTGTGGCATAGAAGATTGAAAAATTCACATTGAAAACATGTCATAACCAGGGTTCAGTCATTCCTGCAATGGCTAGAATCTAGACACCTGATAGACCTGGAGGACGGGGACAAATGACTTACATATGTGCAAGTGCCAGCCACAGAGGCTGTGCAGTTAAGTGGGCAATCAGTGTCCAGCAAGTCCAGGATGAGAAATAGGTAAAGTCCTGCGAGTGAGCAAAATGCAGCATTGGTGTTCTAAGCCTCAGTCAATGAGAGGAGGTGCAAGCAACTGGACATCTGGCACCAGGATCTTGACATCTGGCAACAGATGGCCAGGATTTAGTTACAGGCACTAGAGATCCTGTAGGTATTAAGTAGGATTGCAGCAGAAACAGGAGGCAGAGATCAGGACTTGGTTCCTTGGCTTCTGACACCAAGGTTCTAATATGGGGCTTAGTCTGTTGCTAATAACAGAGATATGTTTTTAAAGCAGGACTCCTGGTGTGGCTCTGTGGGTTAATGTGCTGGATTGCAAAGTCAGTTTGAACAGCAAAGTTAGTGGTTCAAGCTCACCAGCCACTCCTTGGAAACCCTATACAGGGTCAGTATAGGTCGGAACCGACCTGACAACACTTAACAACAGCATTTTTAAAGCAAGGGGAATAAAAAAGCAGAGGAGGGCATTAAGAGTTGTTAATTATGTAGCAAGCAATTTGGTGTTGTTTTTTAAATCATTTTAATTATACTTCACACTTAAGACTTGTATTGTTAGGTCCAATAACTAATGTCTTTATGTTAACACTTCCCTTCCTGGCCCTATCACACTGTGTAAGGAAAAGGCTATCAACAGTGTGAAAACAAGAATGGCTTCCCCTGAGTTAAAAATGAAGGAAATAAGGGTCCACGAGATTAGTGTCAGTCGTGCTCCTCTACTGCCTTCTTCAGATTGCTTCCCACCCACCAGTCTAACTTTGAAGAACTTTGTTATTCAAACATCCATTTTTTTTTTCTGCTAAAATAATATGTAAAACTTAGGAATTAAGTATAAGACCTGTACACTGAAAACTACAAAACACCACTGAAAGAAATTAAAGATCTAAGTGGCATAGGATGTTCATGGATTGAGTAACTTTATTCTGTTAAGATGGTAATACTTCCCAATTGATCTACAAATTAAATGCAATATCAAAATTCCAGCTGAAATTTTTTCCCCAGAAATGGGCCAGCTGATCTTAAAATGTAAGCAAGACAATCTTAGAAAAGAAGAATAAAGTTGGAGAACTCACAATGTGTGATTTCAGGACTTAACAACAAAAGCTACCATAATCAACACATTTGTTATACTGACATAAATCAATGGAACAGAACTAGACCCCTCTCTTGTCAATTGGTTTTCTACAAAGGTGTCAAGACCATTCAAGGGGGGAAAAACAGTTTTTTTCAATAAACATTACTGGTGCAAATGGATATCTACATATGAAAGAATAAAATTGGCTGTTACCTCATACCATATACAAAAATGAACTCAAAATGGATGAAAGACATAACTGTAAGAGCTACACCTATAAAATTCTTAACAGGCAATAGAGGGGTACATCTGTATGACTTTAGATTGGGCAACAGTGTCTTAGCTATGGCACCAAAATCACAAGCTACAAGAGAAAGAACAGATAAAATGGACTTCATCAAAATAAAAATATTGAATTTTATATATTACAAAATACTGTGAAGACAACAAAAAGACAACCTTCAGGTTGTATAGGTTTTCCAAGGAGCAGCTGGTTAGCTTGTATTGCTGACCTTGCGGATCAAAGCAATTTTGCAGTCCAGTGCATTAACCCACAGTGCCACACCAGGACTCCTTTAAAACATAGTATGTGTTATTTAATTTATTTTGATTATCTGTCTTCTTCTAGAACATGGGCTTCTTCATGGCAGGAATTTTTGTTTTGTTCCCTTCTGTACTCCTAGAAGCCTAGAATAGTAACTGGCATCACAAAAACTAGCCCACGTCTGTTCAGTTGATTCCAACTCATAGCGACCAAGACTGTAAATCTTTATGGGAGCAGACAGCTTCATCTTTCTCCTGTGGAGTAGATGGTGGGTTTGAACTGCCAGTCTTCCAGTTAGCAAGCAGTCCAGTGCTTATCTTACAATACCACTGGAGTTCTTTAACTAGTATCATAGGTATTCTTGGGTGAGTGACTAGATTTCAGAACTTTAATCTATCCAAATAGTTTAATGAACTCTACCTTGCTACCCAAATTCTTTTCCTTGCTCTTCAATAGGATTCCTCTACTTGAAGTTGCTTTGCTTATACGTGCACTTCTGTGTGTTTTTTCTCTAATTCTCACCAGTTCAAATTCCACACTTATACTTAAGTTTCCTTTCTTTCCAAAGAAGCCTTGCCTGTCTCTTGGCAGAGTTGGCCTCAGGCATGCCTGATACGGTGCTCATCACATGACTAAAAATGCTAATGCCTGCACACCTGAACTCCTTGAAAGTACAGTATGTGTCTGGTTCATTTCTATTTCACAGTCTCTAAAATTATAACCATTACCCCTTCCATGATTGTTTAGAGTACCTCCCCCAACTCAGGATGCCTTGAGTCCTTAAGTATGCCACCTGGGTACCAAAAAGAGGTACATGCTCATATGCTCCTATTGTTGTTGTTAAGCACCATCAAGTCAGTTCCAACTCACAGCGACCCTGTATAAGGTTTCTGAGGAGTGACAGGTGAATTTGAACCACTGACCTTGCAGTCCAGTGCATTATCCTACAGTGCCACACCAGGACTCCATGCTCCTGTAGAGGATTGTATTCTGCTGCATACATACACCCTATGCAACAATTTCTGAGTCACTACTATGTAAAGGGAGTCCTGGTGTGGTGCTGAGGGTTAATGTGTTGGACTGCAAAGTTAGTTTGAACCACAAGGTTGGCAGTTCAAGCACACTAGTTGTACCTTGGAAATCCTATGCAGGGTTGCTATGAATTGGAACTGACTCAACAGTACTTAACAACAACTATGTAATGAGCACTGTATCAGGCCTTACTGAGACAGAGACATATAGACCTGGTTTTAACTCTTGAGCAGCTCAAAGTCTAATAAAGGGAACAGGCATATAAAAACTTAAGTGTAGTATATGCTTAGAAGCTTATATAAAGTGCTATATGGAAACACAGAGGAGAGAACAATTAATATGGTCTGGGAGAGAGAGAGGAAGATCAGGTATTTGCTATTAAACAACAAAAAAGAAATAAATACATCTTAGTTGGTCTTAAAGGATGTGCAGGTGGGCAGAGGAAGATGGAATTCTAAGCAAAGGAAAGAGAGCAAAGGTTCAAAGTGAGGGAAGGACCTGGTCTATTTGGGGAATGAGAAGTATTCTGGAATAGCTGCATTATGGAAGGTTCATTTGGGAACTGTGGGCAGAGAAGACTGCAAAGGAAGGTTAGGGCTGTTTGTGTTGAGCCTTCAGTGCCATGAGGAGGAATAGGGACTTTGCCTAACAGACAACCCAGAATCCTGGGAAGCTTTTGATTTTGAGCAAGGGAGTAACAGAAATAGATCTATGTTTCAGAGAAATGACACCAAGAAAGAGTAGAACGTGCATTTGGAGTGGAGTTAGGGAAACCAGAGTCAAGTCACAAGTTGGCTGCAGTCATCCCTGGAGGAGATAATAAGGGTTAAATGAAAGCAAGGACAGAGGGGACAAAGCTGAGAACTACACCAGAGCTCGTCATGGGTCAGCTCCGTTTCTCCAAGCAACACTGCTGCCTGGCTGATGATGTCTTGCCTGGGCAGAGCTTCAGGAAGCCTAGGGGAGCAGAACTCACCCCGGTGTCCTCGCGTGCTCTTCACCACCACTGGGTAGCCCAGGGGCTCAGCTTCATCAATCATTTTTGAAAAGTCTTCATGCCCACCTGCCAAGAAAAGGTGAAGGTCAGTGATGGTAAGGCTGATGGTCAGGGAGCGGTCAGTCCAGCACTGTTCCCTCTGTGGGAATTCTTGTGAAGTTTCCTGTCTCTCTGACCAAAGCAATTCAAACCCATCTAGCCCAACACTCGTGTATCATGCTCCTGGAATATAAAATGCTGAGGCAGAGAGATAAAAGGAATCTGACATTTATCAAATAGCTTCTATGTGATAAAGTGAATGTTTGCTTTAATACTATCCATCTGGCTTCCCAAGCCACAAACCAGTAAGTCATCACTGGTTCCCCTCCATGCCTTAGTTCAGGTAATCTTTACAGTAATCCAATAGGGAGGTACTTTTCCCCTTTTAAGGGCTATAGTAGTCATAACTCTAAGATGACTCTAAGATTCCTATCCCCAGTGTGTGCACTGATGTCAAGCCGATTCTGATTTATAGTGACCCTGTATGTAGAGTAAGACTGCCCCACAGGATTCCAAGTCTGTAATCTTTATCGAAGTAAACTGCCACATCTTTCTCCTGCATTTGGTTAACAGTCGAGCATTTAACCACTGCACCACTAGGACTTCCCCGGTGTATACGTCCTATATACCCCCTTCCTTTGAATACTGGAAGAACCAGTGACTATGATAGGACAGCATTCCCATGATGAGACAATTAATTGAGTTAATAAAAAAAGATGATCCTGGGTGAGCCTGACCTAATCAGGTGAGCCCTTTAGAAGAGGATAATGCATTAGAAAGACTCTCATGATGGTGTCACTAAAGGAGCAAATTGCCATGTTGTAGAGAGGGCCATGTGATAGAGAATGGGGACAGCCTCTAGGAACTGAAAATGGCCTATCATTTTTTAAAAGCGATATTCCAGAAAAAGAATAACTAGTTTCTAGATGACAGTGTGAGGGTTCTATTATCCATTAAGTGAGTGAAGCCTGATGCTTGTTGAGGCTTTGAGACATTATCTGGGTTGCTCAAATGTCCTTCAAGCCTATTTTCTAGTCTCAAAAATGTGATGGATGAGTTTTATACATATTGTGGTGTGTCAGCTTTCTATTTTTGCTGAAACTAATTGTCACCAATTTGATGGCTTAAAACAACATAAATGAACTATCTTAACAGTTCTGTAGCATTCTGACACAGATCTCACAGGGCTAAAATCAAGGTTCCCAACAGGTTTGCATTCTTGTCTGTAGACTCTGTTTTCTTACCTATTCCAGCTTCTAACGGCTACCCATATTCCTTAGTTTCATATTCTGACCTCCTGTAGTAACATCTCCCTCTGACTCTTTTCCACCTCAGTCTTCCACATTTAAGGGCCCTTGATATTGTACCAGGGTCACACAGACAATGCAAGATAACTGTCCCAAGTCCAAGGTCAACTGATTAGCAACCAAATTATATCTGGAACCTTAATCTCCTCTTGCCATATAGCCCAACATAATTATAGGTTCTAGAGATCAGAATGCAGACTTCTTTGGGGGGCCCATTACTCTGCTTGCCACAGCAAGATATTTCTGGAACAAGACCTGTTTTGCCCACAAAAGTGCTAAAAATATGCACAAAGAGACAACAGAAACAAAAACATGAAGACGTTAGCATAGCTAATATGTGTCCTCATGAAGATATTTCATAAGGAACCTCCAAACTTCCTGACAGCTCCTCAACAATCTTAACTCTTCCTAGAGTCCGTGTTTGTTATTCTTCCCTTAAAGGCCAGGGAAAGAGAGAAACTTCTGATCTAAAGCCATCTGTGCACCTGCTTTGAGCCTTCCCCCCTCCTTAGAGATCCTGTACCATCATGCGTCCCCTCTCTGCTGTAACTTCAATCTTCCAGTTCTTAATGTCATCTGTAGTTAAACATGCTCAGTTCTCTCCCATCTTAAATTCCTGTTCCTTGACTCTATTTCCTTCCTTACTTACAATTTTGTAACCTTATTTGAAACCAAGCTACCTGGAAGTTATATAAACCTACTGTATCCAGTGCCTCATCTCACGTTCACTTCCTAACCATGACAGTTTAGCTTCTATTCCCATCACTCTGTTGTTGTTAAGTACTGTTCTTAACAAGAAGCGTTGGTTCTGACTCATTGCCACCCAGTATAGGGTTTCCGAGGAGTGGTTCAAACCGACCTTGAGGTCCATTGCTTATCCTACAGCACCACGCCAGAACTCCTCTCATCACTGTACTGAAGTTAAAGTCCTCATGGCTCCATTAAACTCCCTGCTGCTACTTCCAGTGTACACAGTGTCTATGTTACTTGCCCTTTCAATAACACACTTTTGCTTATTGAAATGTCCTCTCTGTTGGCTGCTGTGATCTTTCTTCTTTCTCCTCTTTGACTGCTCCTACTTAGTCTCTTTTATATTATAGGGTCTTCTTCCTCTACCTACTCGCTAAATGATTCCATTTTGATTAGTCTTTGCATTCTCCCTGTTCTGAGTAATCACATCCAATTCTATGACTTCACTTTATGAATGCTCCCAAATCCAGTTTCCTAATCTATGCCTCTTCCAGGAGATCCAGATTAATTTTTTATCTGCTATCTGTTGAATATTCACTTGCATATCCTATAGACACTACAGAGAGGACATGTCTCAAACTGGACTCATCTCTTCCCCAAAACTTCCTATCCATTACCCACCAGTCTGCTTCTTCCCTCTCATATTCTAGTCTATGTGAATGTTTGCTTTAATACTATCCATCTAATTTAATTTATACAAATTTATACATTTAATACAAGCCAGAAACCAGTAAGTCACCACTGATTCCGCTCTGTGTTCTTCATATCCAATCAATCATCATGACTATTTCTATCTTCATAATTCTTTAACCTGTTCACTTTTCTTCATTTCACACTGACCATGGTAGTTTAGATGAGCATTGCTCACCTGGGTTATCTGAAAAGCCTCCTCACTGCTTATCCCATCTCTACTTTGCCATTAAGGAGCTATGGTAGCATAGTGGTTATGAGTTGGGCTGCTAACCGCAAGGTCAGCAGTTTGAAACTACCAGCTGCTCTGCAAGAGAAAGATGAGGCTTTCTGCTCCCGTAAAGATTTACAGCCTCAGAAACCCTATACAGGGTCACTATGAGTCGGAACCGACTCCACAGCATATCACCACAACCACCACTTTGCCCTTGTCTCCTCTCTTTTCCATAGTACTGCCAGAGTGATCTTCTGAACTTTAACTATGATCAGGACACTTCCCTGCTTAAAGCCTTCAATAATTTCCTATTGCTCTCATGATTAATCCTAATCTCTTTTGCATAATGTATAAGGCTCCTCCTTATCTTCCCAGTTTTATATCAAAACTCTCTCCCTTCACATTTTACAAACTGCTTAGATTAGCTGTTAGGTCACGCTTTCCCTTGCCTCTGTTGTTAAGTACCATTGAGTAGGTTCCAACTCATAGCGACCCTGCAAAGTTTCAGTGGCTGGTGGGTTTGAACCACCAATGTTGTGGTTAGAAGTCCAGGGCTTATCTTACAATGCCACACCAGGGCTCTTGCCTCAAGGTCTTTGTATATGTTGCTCTTTGCTTAAACTGTTGCCCCCCTCCCTCACCTTTTACCATTATCTGGATAATTTCAGTTTAGATTATTGCTTTGGGGAAGCCTTCATCAATGCTTTCTCAACTATACTGTGGACTTACCTATGTACCCCTGCACCACCTTGCACTCTTTTCCCCTCCTTTTTTTTCTTTTAGCTTTTCACTGTGAAATGAGTGAAGGTTTAGGGAGCAGATCATCAGTTTTACACACAACAAATCATAGACTTTGTTTCATTTCAATAACAATTTCCATTACTTATCCCACTTCTTCCCTGTGACTCTGGTTTCCATTTCACCTTCTTTTCAACTCTTTGGAATTTTGTCCTTAGGTAAATGCTAACCATTGACCTTGAATGGATGACCATTCCATGGTGTGCAAACCACACCATTGTTGTTGTTCCCCTTATATACCTATCTACTGCCTGGCTGAAAATTGATCCATGAAGATGACTTCAGTTCTAGACCTGAAGGGTAACTGAAGGCCATAGTCCCAGGGTTCCTCCAGTCTCTTTCTGACCAATAAGCCTGGTCTTTTTAAGACTTTTGTTGCACATTTCCTCCCACTCTACCCAGGACCTACTAATGTGATCCCTTTCAGAACAGGTGGTAATGGCAACCAGGCTCATCTAGTTGTTTTGGTCTCAGGGTCATGATGACTGATGGTCACATGTTCCAATAGTCCATTTGGACTAATATATTCCAAGCATCTTCACTTTTCATCATTCTTCTTTCCTCTGCACAAGAAGAGACCAAGAGTTGTATCTTAGATGGCCACTCATGAGCTTTTAAGATGCCAGTCATTACTCAGAAAAGAATATAAAACATCTTTGTGGAATATGTTTTGCCATTGACTCTGGTGTCCCCTGAGACTATGATCTTGAACCCCCAGGTCCAGCAAGTCATTTCCTAGAGGAGTTTGGTAAAGTATAAAACATTTTCATAATTTTGCCCCCTGTACGCTCCATCACATTCTTGGATATGTTTGTAGCATAGGTAAATAACCATGGATAAATCTCCTCTGTCAGCCTTTTATTTAATTGTGGGCATACTCCCACATTCCCTCCCATACCCATTCAGCCTAAGGTCACTGTTATTGCAGGACTGTGTATATAACAATATTGACCTCTATGCCCACTAACTCACCTTGCACTTACTCTTACCATGTCATTTACATCACATCACTGAAATGACCTGTTTATTTGCTGTCATCTGCATATAATGAACTGGGAATGCCTGGAGGTTAGGACTCTTGCTGCTATAGCCCCATTGCCTAGAATGGTGGTTGGTACACAGTTGCACCCGATAAAAGGTTATTGAATGAATTTAATAAAGATCCAAAGGCATTTCAGACAGAAGGAATGGCTATGGTATAAACTCAAGATGTTGAATCATCTAAGATGAACAGAGTTCCACTGAAAAGCAACATGAGATACTAGAAGGTTTCTAGGAAAAGAAAACAGAGATGCAAGAGATTGGGAAGATAAATTCCAACCATAGTTTAAGGAGACTCACCATAGGAGAATGTGTCTGGCATAGGGACCCCATGTCCAGCCAGCTCTTGGAATGTCCAGAATTTGTTGATGCAGTTTAAAATGCTCTGTGGGCGGTTGACTAAGCGGCAGCCCAACTTCTCCAGGTGTCGCAAAACAGTGATGTCACTGTCTGACTGCACGGAGGGTGTGGACAGCCGCACAAGCACCACATCTGGGAAAGTGGTAAGTGCCTTTTGGTTCAGCTGAAGGCCTGGAACCGGAAGACAAAAGTGAACTTTGTGCTTGCCAATCTCTCAAGACCAAACCCAGGAGGACGATGGCTTTGAAAATGGCCACCTGGGCATCTTATTGAAACAGGAATACTTTACAGTCCACCCTGTACTCCAAACAAATTAACTGAGCCTGAGTTTGAGGAAACATAAAGGATTGAACAGAAGAAAAAAAAAAAGTCAGCATACCAAGAACAATCCAAGTTAGAAAAATCTACAGGAGATAATAGAGTCCAGTGCCTTTCTTCTGCATAGTGTTACCTCAAATTGTAGGTTAGGAGGCTAACGATTTAACTAAAAGGAAACAGTATCATTCATTAAGGAATCCCTAAAACCCCTCTATGACAACCTTTAAAAAGTCTGTCAAAATGGGTTTTCTGTATTTATTTATACTGTTTTATAAACAATTGATCATAAATGTAAAAATACATATGTTAAGTGGGAGAAAGGGTTACAAAACTATAAATAAACCATTATAATGTCAGTGATTTTAATAGATACAGATTAGAAAAGGCAGGAAATATAGCAACATTGTAACAGTGGATAAAGGATTATAGGCAACTCCCTTTTAATAATTTTCTACTTCTCAGTATTTAAGAGCAAAATAACTTTATAATAATAAATTTAAAAATCCATTTGATACAAATCAATTCTTGAATAAACAAAATTAGAATACATACAAAGACGAATGACTCACGTGCTGAAAGGATGTGAATCAGTATTATATTGGGTGACTTGAAAGGATTAGGTTGAAGTGAAGAATCAGAGAAACAAGAATACTTTGCAATTACCTGAAAGGTTTACCCTCTACATCTCCATGAGGTAGAGCTATCTGAAAGAGCATGATTCTGTCTGTTTAGCTCAGCACTTTTCCCAGCCTCTAGAACAGTACCTACTTCATGGCAGGTACTTGCTATTTGTTCAATTAAATATAAGCTACAGGAGTCCTGGTGTGGTGCTGTGATTAATGTGCTGGACTGCAAGGTCAGTTTGAACCACAAGGTCGGCAGTTCAGGCTCACCAGCTGCTCCTCGAAAATCCTATACAGAATCACTGTGTTGGAGCCGCCTCAATGGCATTTGACAACACAGGGAAATAGACTTGGATTCAGCGAAAGGAAACAAATTCCACTGCCTTAGTATGGAATAAGGAGCCCCAGCAGTGCTGAAGGATAAGCACTGGACTGCTGGCCTCAAAGTCAGTGATTCTAACCCACCTGCTTCTCCAGTACAGATTTACAGTCTCTGAAACCCTACAGAGTAGTTCTCCTGGGCCCTACAGGGTTGCTATTGATTTAATGGCAGTGGAATGTACCTAGGCTCAGTAATCACTTGAGAATGGCCCAGAGGCACTCAAGGATCAGGTGGACTTACAGCAAACTGTCCGGCCCCTTTCCACCCTGCCATTCTATGGTATGCATTGCTCTGGGCAGCTATGATTTACTCAGACTTTAGAGATGGGATGACAGAGATAAGAAATGGGGTGGGTAGGACACTGAGGAGTGAGCTCAGGGAGTTAATTGGTCTCCCCTGCTGTTGTTAATTGTCACCAAGTCCATTCCAACTCATGGTGATTTCATGTGTGCAAAGTAGAACTCCTCCATGAGGTTTTCAAGGCTATGACTTTATGAAAGTACATCACCAGGCCTGTCTTCAGAGGTGCATCTCTTTTGCCTAATAGTTGAACACTTAATCATTTTGCCCTTGTTGTTGTTGTTAAATACCCTGGAGTTGGTTCTGACTCATAGTGACCCTGCATAGGGTTTCTGAGGCTGTAAATCTTTATGGGAATAGAACGTCTCATCTTTCTCCCACAGAACTGCTGGTAGTTTCGAATTGCTGACCTTGAGATTGGCAGCCTGACTCGTAACCACTATGCTACCAGAGATCCTTTTTTTTTTTTTGCCCTTTAATGAACCTTAAGTTAAATGAATCTTTAAAATGCTATACAAAAATCCTTTAAACCACAATTTACAGAATCACCTCATAGTCCTTAATCTAAAGCACCTTCTAGTTCATAACTGATAAGAAGTCATGTTGTTGTTGTTGTTAAGTGCCGTGGAGTTGGTTCTGACTCATAGTGATCCTGTATAGGGTTTCTGAGGAGCAGCTTGTGGGTTTGAACTGCCAACCTTGTGATTTGCAGTCCAGTGCTACCATTTAATTCCAAGTAAACAAAAGATACGAATGCAGTTGTGATTTCCCACTGAGGGATGCAATACTATCGATATAAAAGTTCTAAAAAAAAAAAAAAGCAAAACAAAAAAACCCCACGGCAATATGACTCTAAATAGCACACTTACCCCTCATTCTAAGAGACTTTTCACAAAATTTGAAAAATAGGGGTGAGGTGTGGAATAGGTGCAATCATTTAGACAAATTGTGTCCAATACTTTGCTGATAGTGTGAGCCCAAGAAACCGGAACACCATTCTCGTCTTCACTTTGCCGTCAGAAGACAGTATCACTTATACATGCTTTAATTATGCTTTGAAAAAATCCTTTACTACTCTTACAATCCCTGGGGAAAAATAAGGAAGTAAAATGCAAACCCTATGTATCTTCAAAACTGCTAAGAAAGAAAGAAGAGTATTTAAATTGGTGAAAACTGTGAGTAAATACAGAACACTCAGGGAAACAGCTCAGGACAACATTAAATAATGAGATAATATGTGCAAAATGTCTTGAAAACTATAAAATGCTATACATGTTAGGCACTGACATTGTTATAGCACAGACATTCCACTAAGCAAGGAAGGATAATATATGGAGGTGTTTACCACCCGATGAGAAAAATGGCATCGCAACAGAAAAGTGACCTAGAGAAGTGAGAAGCAGCTGAAACGCCTGGCTTTTAAATCCCAACATAAGACCACAGACAAACAGTTATACTTTACATGAGAAAAAAGAACTCAATCACTTCTGGAAATGCCAACAGCAAGTGGACAGAGACAGCTCACCCTCAACAAGCAGATTCACACAGACCTAGAAAATCTTACCAGGACTGCATCTCTCTTCTCCAAAGGTAAATCTTTGGGCCTGGCTCATTCCAACTGAAGCCTTTAATAAATGAAGAATGGAATGGGTTAAAGTGTAGCCTAAAAGGCTGTACCAAGCAGTTAGACAGATTTGGTCTTTGACTGTGCTGGATGTCCAGCCTTGTGCAGAGAGGGACACATCTGCAGAATTAATTGCATCTTTGCCCACTGATACTGAATGTTACAATGGGCATCTTCACTTGCTCCATTATTTCCTGTTCCCTTAGCTGCCACATTTCAAGAAATAATAGATGTCTTAGGTAGAATTCTGTAGAGAAGCAAAATCAGTGAAGCTTATATATGTATATATAAAGAGACATTTATATCAAGGAAATGGCTCACACAGTTGCAGAGGTGGGTAAGTTGCAAGTCTGTGGGTCAGATGAACCAAGATCGGCAGGCTAGGCAGCAGGCAAGCAGGTGGGGCAGATAAGACTGCAGGCAATAGAACAAGTCACTGACTCAAGTCTGAATGACTAGCTAGATTCAGGATCCAGCCCAGCAGAAAAGCAAGCCAGCTTTGCCTAAGTGTCTAATATATTGGAAGCTGGCCACATCCCCAAGGAAAACTCCTTTCAATTGATTGATTGCTCACAGCAGATCGCATCGTGAAGTTCATTATATTGTATTAGAACTCATCAAAGGGGATGACTGCATTTTAACTGGCAAGCCACTGAGAATCCTGGCCCAGTCAAGTTGACATAAAACCTTAACTATGCCAGTACACAAAAAACCTTAACTATGCCACTCACCATGGTCTCAGTGGCAACAACAGCTCCACACAGTCATGGTCAAGAACTTGGGTTTAAGGCTGGCCCTTGGCAAACCTGTCAGTGAATTCTGAGGCCTTTAACCATGAAAGTGATCTCTAATTAACCATTAAAGAAATCGCTTAATCCCTCTCTCCATTTATATCTCCTCTCAGAAAAAGACATGATAAATAGGATGAAGCTTAAGTGTCACTCTTCCCAGGATGCTTAACATTTCCTGTATCATCTACAGACCTCACACCAAGGGAATGAGGAGTTGACAGCCGACAGCAGAGAGGATTGGGCTCTGCTTCGCTGGCAGTAGATGGAAGGAAAGCCCACAACAATGAGGAACTTCTTGTGATTCAAGTCGCTAGTGCTCAGAGACATTACCTTGACCAGAGCAGAACCTAAAAACATACATTTTCCTTTTTTCAACCTGGACTGAAAATCAGGTGAGTATAATTTTGCTAAGAAAAAAAGAGAGGGTGGTGGTAGCAAAGAGAAGGAATGGAGAGAAAGGGAAAAAAGGAAGGTGGAAAGAAGAAAAATGAGATCTGTGGGGTCTCCCAGATTTCTGGATTGGGATTGCATTTACTATGTTTATCCTCAAACCATTTTTTTCTTTTCTACTAAATGATCAATCTGTCCCCAAACAGGTCAAGAAGATAGATTAATAGAATATGATCAGACCCCCAAATGAACAGTACCATAACCAATAGGTGACCTAGTCTATCAGTATTTTTAAACCCAAACAGTATTTTCTCCATATTACTTTAAAAAGAATAATCTACTTTCATGGGTAATTGTGTTCTAATTTATTTATGAACTCACTATTTATATTTGGAAATATTTTAATGCATTAAAAAACAAAGTAGAAAATTGAGAAACTTTTTTTCCCAAAGAAATTTGTCTGTGTTGTTAAGTAGGTTTTCATAGTGGCCCTATGAACAACAGAACGAAACTCTGCCCAATCTGTGCTACCCTGACAATCTGCTATTTTGAACCCACTGTGTCAATCCATCTCACTGAGGGTCTTCCTCTTTTCTGCTAGCCTCTACTTTACCATGCATGATGACCTTCTCCAGGGACTCAACCCTCCTCATAACAACCCAAAGTATGTGAGATGAAGTCTCTCCATCCTCACTTCTATGACACATTCTAGCTGCACTTCTTCCAACACAGATTTGTCCCTT